AAGCTGATGCTGTGTATTTGGTGGGACCAGCTTGGCGTAATTTACTATGAACTCCTGCAACCACGCGAAACCATCACAGGAGCCCTCTATCGGACGCAATTGATTCGTTTGAGTCGAGCGTTAAAGGAAAAACGCCCAAAGTACGCGGAAAGGCACGACAAGGTCATATTTCTGCATGACAACGCTCGGCCACATGTTTCCAAGGTCGTGAAAACATACCTGGAAACTTTGAAATGGGACATCCTATCGCACCCGCCGTACTCTCCTGACATCGCCCCTTCTGATTTCTACTTGTTCCGATTGATGACGCATGACCTGGCCGAACAGCACTTTCGTTCTTACGAAGAAACCAAAAATTGGATCTATTCGTGGATCGCGTCAAAAGACGAACAGTTTTTTGGAAGAGGAATTCAGAAGCTGCCAGAAAGATGGGAAAAAGTTGTGACTAAGGATGGAAATTATTTTGAAGAATGAGATTGTAACGAGTTTTTTACAATAAAACCTCAAATTATTAGAAAAAACGGCGATTTTCTATTTGTACTCCCAATAGAAAAAGGACAAACAATCACCAGAGAATATTATACCTAATTGTTGGACCGGTTAAGCGAAAAAATAAAGGAAAAACTTCCTCATTTGAACAAAAAAAATTTCTGTCTCATCAAAACAATGTACGAGTGCACACTTGATTAGTTTCAATGGCTAAAATTAAGGAATTGAAGTCTAAATTAGTAGACCATCAACCGTATTCAACAGATTTGGTTCCTAGTGACTGTTTTTTATTTCCAAACCAAAATAGTGGTTTGCCGGACAACGATTCATCTCGAACGAAAAGGTTATAACACAAACAAATGGCTATTTTGAGGAACTTCCAAAATTATTTTTTTCTTATGGATTAAAATACTTGAAGTATGCCTGGAAAAGTGTATTGAAATAAAAGGAGATTAAGTTGAAAAATAAAAAAAATATTGTTTTTCTATCTTTTTCTAAGGACTTATTGACCCACGCTCGTAGCTCGAACGGTTTCAAGACGGACAGAGAGCTTAGACCTGTGCCTTTATACGTGCAAAATAAAGACTATTGTTCATGGTTTGAAAAGATATACATTATTTTAAGACAATAAATCTGCCCGGTATTTATGAATACCGAATATATGATGAATTTAGTGACAAGGCTGTCAGGCTTGGTATCACGTTAGATAGCAATGCTAACCTCATATTCATCAGGTTACCAAGGTCTACTGTTTGTAGTTAATTAGACCATGAACCATGCAGCAGCTTTGTAAGAAACTGGTAGTCTCTGGTATAGCCGCTGCTTGATTATTGCACAATAGTATACTTGGACGCATCGCAAGAACAACTTGTTCGACTTCAAAGGCTGAGCAACTCATGCGTTCATTATATTTTGGGAATTAAAAGAGATGAATGTATCACACCTTACAGAAGGAACCTAGGCTAGCTTCGTTCAGATTCTCGAATCTATTATTTTATAGTTCTCCTTATACAGGGTGGTCCATTTTAATCTACGCACCAAGATTTCTTGGAACCTAAGCGAGATAAGAAAAAACAGGTCAGACAAAAGTTGTATGGGGCAAAGGGGGCTACATAATGGCGCTAACGTCTTTGACCTTGGACTTGACCTTCAAGGTTATTTCAAGATCAAAGTGGTTTTCTTCTAATAGGAACACCTATTTTTGACCACGGATATGGAAAGAGCGGCAAATTTTACATCCGAAACGGTATTTAACATTTTTTGTTATACCTTTCGGAAGATCACTTTTAGGTTAAATGTTAAAAAATCCTGTGATTGCTATTTGCGCGATTCCGTATTTTCATAGAATAATTATTCTTTACCATATGCATTTTGATCGGGAGGGGCATTAAGTACTTTGATCCACTGATTACTTTGACCGTTAACTCGACCATCAAGGTTATTTGAAAGTCATTGTTTTTTTAATAGAAACCCCTATTTTTGACCCTGCAATCAGAAAAAATTACGCTGAATAGTACATTTCCATCTTGGTGCTACAAGTGGTTTCCTACTTTGCTCGAGGTTGTTCGCAGGAGCGAAGCGAGTGAGATCATCACCAGGTCGGGATAGTATTTGTTAGCATCAGAACCTCAAAACTGGTGTCAAAGTCGTCATTTTAAGGTTAGAATGCTGAAAAATGATATTTCAGGTTTGTTTTATCTTGAATGGATATACTAGAGAAGGTTAATTCAAGATAAAATAACATAATATGCTTATTCTATTTTTAGCGTTACCGAGGAACAATGACGTAGACGTAACAGGATTGTGTTTTCTTTGGGATGCTTGATCAAAGAGAATCCCCTAGCTTCTCACTGTCTGGGGTGCTTGTTTAAAGTAAGTTCCCTTGCCACTCACTATTTTAACCACGATGCAAATGTTCGAAGATACCTCTATTTCAGTTAAGCGCCGTAGAAAATGGCATATAGTGTTCAATAGAGTCTGTTTCGGAATTCGTGCACATGCTTGACGAATGCGATATTGCATATTTTGTCTAGTTGTGGACCGCTTTTCAAAAACAACATTTTTTAGGAAGTCTCACAAATAAAAATCAGGTGAGTTAGGAGACCAATTAACTGGTCCTCTTCTACCGATCACCTTTCATAATAAGTTTGTTTCAAAAATTCTTGGACAATTAGCGCAAAGTGTGGTGCTGCACCATCTTGCTGAAACCACATTCTTCGTCTAGTTTCTAAATCAACATCATCTAATAGTTCTGGCAACTAATCTTTTATTAACTGCAAATAACTGTGTCTATTCGCTCAAAAAAGTAAGGGCCAATCAAATATCCATTAACAATTCCACACCACACCATAAGGCTTCAGCGATGCTGATGGTCTACAACTCTGTGCCAGTGAGGATTTCTATTTGACCAATAATGACAATTGTGCCTATTCAATTGTCCATCGCTCCAAAATTTAGCTTTGTCATAAAAAAGAACATAGTTGATAAAATTAGGATCATTTCTATAACCTGTAGGGCCCATTCGCAAAATTTAATTCTCATTTGCATATGATTCATTCTCAATTTCTATACGAGCATGATATGGTAAGCATGGTAATTAAGCCTATTTAAAAAGGGGATGTGTAAGAATTTCAGCATTTAAAATCCGAGATTCACAACTTATGAGAGTCGAAACTATATGTTTGTGGTAATATCTTCTTTCTGTGTTAGACTGCATTACTAGTATTTTGTAGTCCTAATTTCTGTGATACAGTACTAATTAATGTGATATGTCTTTGACCAGAGCTGAATGTACATTATATAATATATAAAAACTTTTTGCATATAATCTACGAGCTATTTGTTTCAATCAATCAATCAATCAATAAATCTCTCTCTCTCTCTCTCTCTCTCTCTCTCTCTCTCTCTCTCTCTCTCTCTCTCTCTCTCTATTGCCTATTAGGACGTTACAGTAGTACTTTTGTGGGTATGCAGTTTTGCTGGTTCCTATGCACATTGTAATCGGCTATCATGTTTGGGATTAAGAGTGGACGGTGAACATGCAATGTTGCCCTTAATCTTTCAGAACACTTTGCAAAATCACGCCGTTTATATACAGGGTGTCCTATTTTAAAGGAACCACCCCGAAATTTTCGACGTTTGGCGTTGTATAAAAAAATTTTTCAGACAACAGTTGTATGGGACAATGGGGGCAACCTTTCTGTGAAATCCGATTTGACCTTAAGATTTATTTTCAAGGTCATTTGAAGGTCAAAGTCATTTTTTAAATAGGAACCCATATTTTTGATCCCGGATTCGGAAAGAGCGGAAAATTCTACGTTAAGATAACGTATTATGTGTGGGGTGCGGTTAACCCTCCCCCCCTCGCCAAAGGTCATGTAGGGGTCAAATTTATGATTTTCTTCATCTATGTACAGGGATGATCGGGCAAGGGTAAGGTTAATTGTAATAACCCAATAACTCCAATACCCAATAACTCGATAACCCCAATAACCACAATAACCGAATAACCAAGAGATATTTTGAATAAGGACCTCCATTTTTTATCCCGGATTCGAAAAGAGCGGGAAATTCTACGTTTAGATAAAGTATTATGTTGGGGGAGCGGTTCACCCCCTCATCGCACCGGGGCAAGGGTGAGGTTAATACAGGCTTAATATTAGGCTTTGAATACATGAAGTCGACTTTGAAAATCAACCTGAAGTTTAAGCTCAAGGTCACTATTGTTTGACCCTACAATTTTTTTGGGATATTGTGGTTATTGAATTATTGGTTTTATCGGGTTATTGGATTATTGGGTTATTTGGGTTATCAAGTTATTGGGTTATTACTATTAACCTTACTCTTGCCCGATCATCCCTGTGCATAGATGAAGAAAATCATAAATTTGACCCCTACATGACCTTAGGCAAGGGGGGGGGGTTAACCGCACCCCACACATAATACGTTACCTGAACGTAGAATTTTCCGCTCTCTCCGAATCCGGGATCAAAAATATAGGTTCCTATTCAAAAAATGACTTTGACCTTCAAATGAAAATAAATCTCAAGATCAAATCGGATTTCACAGAAAGGTTGCCCCCATTGTCCCAAACAACTGTTATCTGAACAATTTTTTTGTACAACGCCAACTGTCGAAAATTTCGGGGTGGTTCCTTTAAAATGGGACACCCTGTATGTAACGGGCGTCAACGTATTTGTATAGATTGGTTATATGTAAATACAGCGCATATATATTAAGTAAGTATCACAGTGTTTTCAATAAATCTGAATCCTCATCCTGATGTTAACACCACACGCGTCTAGTACGTACATTCTGCATACTATTTAGCCGACGGAGTGTTCACGCCCCTCGAAACTAATAAAATATTATTATTATTATTATTATTAGAGACCGGCTGAAAGTACAATCGAACGATGTTGGTCGATTTTGTCCATTAGAAACTCATAACTATTAAATTTAGATTCTCAAAAAATTATTCATATTTACGAGAATGTCTGATTAGTACTCACTTATGCAAGATAGATTGCCACTGGCCTTGGCCATGCCCTAACGAAGGATGGTTGATAATTTGTAATCTAGTACGAGCTCGTAACTCATCTATCATATCAGTAATATCAAACACAAATGGTGCCTGTCCAAAATTTGCATCTACAACTTCACCTGGAGTTTGCAAGCCAACAGTTGGATATAAGTTCGACTGAAAAAAAAAATAAAAAACATTTATGTATTTGTACCGATTGATGATAATTTATGATAATTTAAAACTTCGCTAAATATTGGAAAACTGTTTCAGATAAAAGTTGTACTGATCAGATAATTTTAAGTGACGATGAACTGAAATTTGACATTGAATTTGATTTCTAAGGTTACTTGAAATTCAACTTTGTTTTATAACGAGTTTAACTTTAACTAGTTATGTCTCTCTCTACAATTATACAATTATCAAATATTATCTTATTAAGTATAAATATATATATAGGTATTATGCAATTACAGCAGCGGGAGCGGTCAGAAAGGTAAGAAAAAGAGTTTCCTCTTTTCAATAGCTAGCAATAGAGAAAGATATGTTCAAGAAAAAAAAGAGAGTTTGTGTGTGTTACATTTGTAACGTCTTGACCGGTTAAAACGCGGTTAAGACGGTTAAGACCAATACATTGGAGAAGGAAAGGGGGCACATCTAGCGGCAATTTTAAGAGCTATGTGATTGAACGCGATCAATACATGCTTCTTGCGTGCTCGCGATTGCGTTTTTAAGCTTTGCCATTTGTATTAAGATAGCGCCTTGGCCTTGCCATTATCGCCGTGTGTTGCTTTCCGGTATTGTGATCAAGAACAACCGAATGGTATTGTCGCTGCGAGTTTATACAGTCACAAGCGCGGCGAGTTGTATACAAACGTGATAACCGGCATTTGGTTCCTCGAGGAACTAAAATTGTGGTAAATGCTGAAATGATCGACGCAGTGTACGAGTATGCTAAGGGCATGGCCGACAAAAATGTAAGTACCTGCTTGTAGTTCATCTCTCTCTCACTTTACCTGCTTGCTTTCTCTCTATGTCATTGCGCTTCGCTAAATGATTCTATTGTGCACTCTATAATTCAGTATATAAATCGCCACATAAGTATTCAGTTTGCGTTTTATTCTTTTTATCCTAACTCTTTCCTTTTTCTAAATGAATCCCTTTACTGTTGCTTTTTGCGATTATAGCTACATCTACTCAAGACGCTCTACGCGGGCCACAAGGTAGATTTGTGGTTGCAATAGACGACTAGACTCAGCTATATACGAGTCATTGCACTTGCCTTGGGGCGGTCCAAACATTTTATTGCCGAGTTAATAATAACATATTCTTCTCATTTATAACTAGAATTAAATCCCATTACAGTTTATCTAAATGACAACCACTATTTCCGAATCCCGAATCAGAAAGAGCGAAAAATTTTACATTCAGATGACTTATAATATGTAGGATCCGGGAAATGCATACCAAACTCATGTGAAGTTCAAACTTAGCTTAAGCAACAAGGCTTCCACCCGATTTGCTTTATCCTATCCTTATAATCAACACAATTAATACGACGACGCCCGTATGAAATACAATCAGTAATCGCGGCTGACGAGATAGCTGGCAGGTCTGCCACGCTATCCACCAGATATGAACGCCCGCAAAATGCGAAAGAGAAAGAGAGAGAGAAACGCAGCACCGACCTCGTCCTCCTATCGCCTGCTCTAACTTGATCTCTGTCGCTGTTATTGGTACTTCCCTTTTCGTAGTCGTCGTTGTCGCTGTCCTCACTGTCGTTGTTGTTATAGTTGTTGTTTTTCTGTTGTTAATGTCACTGTCGCTGTTGTTCAGCAGATACTGCCAAAAAATCGTTACGAAGATGCATGCGCAACTCACGATCTCTCTTTTTCTGTTTCTCCCCTGTCTCTATCTTTGCCTTCTCTCTTCTGTCTATCTCTCTCTTAGCTTTTCCTCCTACTGCCTCATGCGTCGTCCTTCGCCGTTCGTTTTAACGCCGCATCTCAACAGAGAGAAAAACTAGCATGAGTATGTGTTCTCAACATTGAAACTAGTAATGTAGATGAGAATAAAAGTAATGGGCCTTTAAATTCATTAGACATCCTATGACTTTACAATTGTTAAGTATTCTATTCATAAGATTTGGTAATCATTATTTTTAGTATGTTGTAAAAATTTTTGTTTAATTTCTCTAAAACTCAGCCATGCTGCTTGCTCCTCAGCTGTCAATCTTTCAAAGTTTTCGTTTTCCAACAGTTCTCTTATTTGTCGACCATCAATACACCTTCGTTCATTGTTGTTTCCGAAATTTTTGGTAACTTCTCGAAGATATACATGAAGGCAGCGCTTTCATTTGGTGAATTTTTACTATTTTAATTAACTGTTTAACCAAGCTTAATATGTAAGGATTGGATGATAACCACATTTTTGTGTACAAGACTTTCATGAAAAATATTTTTATTACCTGAAGTAAGATTTTGTCATTCATTTCTGATATAATGTGGGCCTCTAGCTCAAATAACCCATTCAAAAATAAAGTATGGTTACTTCGTGAAGCTAAAGTTGACCCAACAAATTTGTCATTATTTTCAAATCTCCAACTAACTACCACCCATGAGCATCATAATTCGATTACTGTAGTAACAAATAGAGATCGTGATATTTCTCTTTCAAAATAACAGAATGGCCAACTGGTAAAGATACGAGATGTGTTCAAAAAGTAAGGTGACTTTGTATTTTTAAGAAAAGATATTTATTTATTTATCAATATTTATGTTGTCCCCTTCAAAGTAATCCCCCTCAGATACAATACACTTATGCCAACGGTTTTTCCTATCCTCAAAGCATTTCTCATAAGCATTTTTCGGTATAGCCTTGAGCTCTTCCAGCGATGAAGTCTGTATCTCTTCAATCGTTGCAAATCTCCGTCCTTTCATAGGTCTCTTTAGTTTTGGGAACAAGAAAAAGTCACATGGGGCCAAATCCGGTGAATATGGTGGCTGAGGCATGATTGTGGTGTTGTTTTTGGCCAAAAAATCTCTCACAAGCAAAGATGAGTGAGCAGGGGCATTATCGTGATGCAAAAGCCATGAATTGTTTTTCCACAATTCTGGGCGTTTTCTTCGTATTGCTTCTCGCAAACGGCGCATAACTTCAAGATAATACTGTTTATTGACCGTACGTCCATATGGTAAGAACTCCTGATGCACCACGCCATGGTAATCGAAGAAAACAGTGAGCAAAACTTTGACATTTGATCGAACTTGGCGTGCTTTTTTCGGTCTTGGCTCATCTGGGCTCTTCCATTGGGACGATTGGACTTTGGTTTCGATATCATAACCATATACCCATGATTCGTCACCAGTTATGACCCTTTTGAGTAAATCTGGGTCGTCGTTGATGTCATTCAACAGTTATTGAGCGATGCTCATGCGACGGTTCTTTTGGTCAAAATTTAGCAATTTCGGAACAAACTTCGCTGACACACGTCTCATGCCCAAAACGTTAGAAAAAATTTCATGGCACGAGCCAAGCGATATACCAACATCCTCAGCAACTTCTCTGATAGTGATTCGACGATTTTCCAGAACAATTTTCTTCACTGCTTGAACGTTTTCATCACTTGTTGACGTGCTTGAGCGTCCAGAGCGAGGCTCGTCATTGGCATCTTCCCGGCCATCTTGGAAGAGTTTGTACCACTTGTAAACATTTTTTTTACTCAAAACAGTTTCACCGTATGCCACCGTCAACATTTCAAGTGTTTCGGAGCACTTTATTTTATTTTTTACACAAAATTTGATGCAAATCCTTTGATCCATATTTTTCGATAGCAAGAAATCGCCAAGCACGCAAAACACTTATAACCTTTACGCCTCTCACAACCAAACAAAAAATGCTATTCAGTTGAAACTTGGTACAGATGTTCGGGAAGAGTGTACCAACATAACAAAATAAAAAAATCGATAATCGAAAGTACGTTGCCCCTGAAATTTGAAAAGTCACCTTACTTTTTTAACATACCTCGTATATATTATCATTGTGGAGAAAGACTGCATTTAACTTATAGAAGAATCTATGAATAGATGCCAATCAATAGCTACATATTTAACATTTCCAAATTAATTTATCAGTCTTTCAACGTTATTACAGTAAATCAAATAGAATATTTTTGAAAATAAATTGTTAATCTCTATTTAGGTAAAATGTCGTTAAGAGTTCCAGGAGTCAGATAATGTTTTTTTTTAACGTAAATGCTAAAAATTAAAAAAATTCTTTTGATAGCCCTGTACTAAATTATTAAGTTCATCTTGATTGAATCTGTGAAAAGCTTAATATTGCTCATCTTATTCTATATCGTCTAGAGATCGTTTAGATCATTATTAAAATCATGCTCGTCCGTTTATTCTTCAATTTGCCTTTCAGTATCCTGAGCGTCTACATCAAACGTACCTTTATTAGTCCAAACTTCAAATTTCTCGACATTGTGATCCACAGGGGCGGCGACAACAAGAAGAGTCAATGAATCAACAGATGAATAAAATTTTTTTATTATTACTCCAAGTTTATTTACAATCTGTTTCGCGTATAGAGACAATATGAAAATAGTGTTACAATTAGACATATATCTATGTAATAAACAGCAGTATATCCATTAAATATACTGCCTTTATTTGATAGTATGATTGGAATAATTATATCAATTTATTTGCGGATCCATTAGTTTATCATTTTTCAGTATGGTGTTGGCAATGGATGTCTTGAGAAGTTTGTTGACAAGTTTATTTAGGTAGTTTTGAAGTCTGGATTATATTTTGCGTAGAATTTTTTTATTTATACTTTGGCAGTAAGTATCCGTCAATCATTTCGGATAATTTCATTCGGTACGAACCCTGGGGTCCGTACTATATTCCGTAGGACTTTCTATTGAAATCTTTCCAGGATTTCGATATTCGAGTTAAAAGCAACACCCCCATAGTTGAATACCATATGTCCAGACTGATTTAAGTACAGCTTTTTTTCAATTGACAGCTCCGATTTTGTTCCGATGAGCCAGGACATTTTCCTCCATTTTAGACCTAACTGTTTGCATTTAGTAAATATATGTTCTTTCCACGTAAGTCTTCGGACTAGGTGAATATTTAGGTATTTGACTTGATTACTTTGTGGAATATATT